CCTTTCTAGAATTTATTTATCTTCTCGCTACAATAATTTCATTAATAAGATATTTCAATAATTTTATTCATATTCAAAATTTCAGCATGCTGAAATATTTTTCAGTTTTTTAAAAAATCATTTAATTTAAAATAAACTTAGTTATTCAAAAATTAAATAATTAGACATGAAATAAGGAAAAAATTAATGAAATAATCAGTTTGCATTATAATAATTAGTTCGATTTAAAAGAAATGAAGCAAAGAAATTAAATGAATAGTATTAATTAACTACAAATATTTCAGCAAAATTCTAAAATGAAGGATAAACAAAGAGAGAAAAAGTGGTAGCAAAAAAAGAAAGAGAAATGCTATGGAGCTCATATATCCTTTTTTGTATCATTTAAATCAATATGATAAATATTTTATTTTATACTACGTTTTCCGTTACCAAGAACAAAAAACACGTATAATTAATTGCACGTATGAAATGATGACAGAATTATTTTGCAAAAAAAAAAAAAAAAAGAAAAGAAACACGAAATTAATAATTTTTAAAGTCTAATTTATATCCCATAATAAGTCACATAATCACACATTTGAAAAATATTGCAATTTAATTTGACATTTTTCTTTTTTCTTTCTTTCTTACATTGTCTGCTAATAAAGCTAAGATATAATTAGAAAATGACACTTTTTTTTATTTTTTTGCATGTGTGGAAAACAGATAATTACAATTACAGTAATTTAAACTTAATAAAATTAGAAATAAAAAAGTGAAAAAATTTTTTCATTTCAAAATTTTAATATTAAACATTTTGTGGACATCTATTGGTCAAATAACATTATTATTATAGTTTTGACAAATTGATAAAGAATAAATGTATTGCATGCCAGCATGCAAAATGCAACATGCAACACTTATGAGTCAAAAATTTTAATTGTTTGCAAATGCTCTCTAATAAACAATCGAAAATATATAGAGAAATAATAATATACATGAAATATTATAAGTGTAATGTCAAAAAATATAGACTGATAAATATATCAAAGTAAATTACTGTTTACTTACTGAATGAATGAGATAAAAAGATAAGTAAGAAAACAAAAAATGGAAGCAAATATTACGTAAAAATGATTAGAAAAATTAAAAGATAAGTAGGAAGAAAAGTGAGTGTTAATTAAACTAAAAAAAAAAAGAATTAAAATAAGCAAATTGTTGATGCTGAGGAAGAATATATCGAAATGTTTTAGGATGAAATGATAAGTAATGATAGCATGAATGGATAAAGGTGAAATAGCCAGGTGTTTAAAATTAATAGCCATAACATGCTAATAGAAAAAAAAAAAGAAAGCTAATCATTCAAACATTGCATCTTATCAACAAAACATATGAAATATGATTTTAGAATTTAATTGGATTAATAATTTTCATTTATTATTGATTACTTTTTGTCTTTTGAATGAACTGATTAATTCAACTGATTAAATTGCATCTCTCTAATTTCATTTCGTAATCCATAAAACTTTTTTTATCATTATTATTAAAAATTATTGCTTAATTCATTAAATCAATACGCTGTACTTTATCACACATATTTCATTTCTCATAAATAATATTTACTTTTAAACAGTTTCTTTTTTGAGAAAAATTATTAAAATTTACAGTTTATTCTGATCTAGCAAATTATCACTTTTGTAAAATAAATTAGGACATTTGCGCTATCGATTATTATACTTTAAAGCACAATTATATGATTCAGCAAATTGCAAAGTTTTGCCAATGTTTCAGATTATCGCCTTTCTAAAACTCAGTATGCTAATATATTCAATAATTAATTAATAATACTCATATACTTATATTAAAGTAGCATTTTTGTGCAGGCAAATGAATGAGTAATCGAATAAATTAATTAATAAGCTAATTGAAATGTTTAGTTGAAAGCTATAAACTAATGAATTTAATAAATTGATGTAATATTTATGGTCATTAAATGAATTAGCTAACTTTTAAAAAACAAATTCGACTATTGCTATAGCTATTTACTTTGGTACACGTTGGACAATTTCTGATACGTCGTTCTATGCCAAAACCGAATGAAGTTGAACACGTTGACCATTCAGTCCACTGTAGATCATCTATTAAAGCACCTTAGCATTAATTAGCTATTTTGTCATCAATAAAAATGTTTAAATTAATTTGAAAGCCAATTTTAAATTAGTTCATATGCTTTGTAAAACTTATTGTTTTTTAGATTAAATAAATCTATTTGCATTAGTGATTTTGTCAGGTAAAATAAGCATACACCATAGTTCATATTTGACAAATTAATCAATGCATTTTATTTAATTAATAAATTAAGTTTAAATTTATTTAATTGATAAATAAGCCAACTTTAAATTAGCTCGTATATTTTATATAATTATTGCCAGATAAAGAAGCTTTTTTTTCAAATGTAAAGAAAAAAAACAATTGATAAATTCATATGTACCCATGCATTTGCCATAACATAATTGGCGCTCTTGTCGTGACTTATGACATCGTTTTCCGCCAATGCATGCGCTCACTCTTAGACGAAAACCTTTTTGTCCACAAACTGAAGCTGTACAATTACTCCAGTTTGACCATTCAACCCATACTTGTAATATTTATAATAAAAAAAGAAAAGAAATCATCATCAAAAAAAAAAAAAATTATCGGAATATAATAACTCACACAATTTTTTCATGTTTGATGAAATTCAAAAAATTACAAATGTATTTTATTTATCTATTTCACTCAACAATAATTTATTTGCATTTTTAGGACTAAATCATTAAAATTCTCCATTGAAGCTTACTTATATAATTAATTTAATCATTATTAATACATCACGCATATTAATTAGATTAATTATTATTACTTTTAATGCGTTTAGTTGTGGCAAAATCATTTATTGTTGACATATTACTTCTAAAAAAAATTTATTTCCGAAATTAAATTAATTACTAAACAACTTCTCTTTTCCGATTTTGTTCATTGTTTCTTCCCTTTTTTCTTGCTCTTTTAGATCAATTAGTAAATTTTATCGTTCAAAATTTATAAAAAAAATTTTTTTTGTGAAATTTAAAATGTGAAAAAAAAAAAAGAATAATTCGCCCATTTTGTTCAATTATTGCGTTGTTTGGTAAATTTTTGACATTTTTTTGCATCAATTATATGAAATTATTTTTCAATGTTTCATTTCGTCCCGAACAATGTGACGAAAACTCAACAATTGTTCGTCTATTACAATTCAATTTCTATCAGCTTTTGAAAATTTCAATTTTTTCTAAGTTAAAAGTTGAAAATTGTTTCAATTGTAATAAATTCTAGTAGTCTTTTTTTCTTTCCGTTTTGGTCTTAAAAAATTATAACTTATTTTCCTGTTTTTTTTCTGTAATTATTTGATTTTTTTAATCTATAATTGTGAAAACTGTTTTTTAATAATTTGAAAATAATTTAAGTGGATTTAAAAAAAAAATGAAAATATACGACAAAAAACCAGGGAAAGACTAGCATAGGAAAATTTTTTTTGGAAAAACTCAGAAATAACAGATTTAAAAAATGGATAAATTTATTAAAATGTTTTTCACTCTTTTTGTATAGAAAGCGAGAAATGAACATGCTTGGAAAAATGAAGTGTAAATTACCCCACATCGGCCTTTAATGCAATAATGTTTTGTACCACACGGTGTATCATCCGGAAAAATGGTTGTTGTCCGGATTTGTCCATGAGATAGTAAGCACCTTAAATTACAAATATTGCTATTCTTTTTCAAATTGCTTATAATGCTCATGGATTAAATAATTGAAAAACTTCAATTTGTTAATTTGAAATTTTGAAAATTTTTTTAAAAAGCAGAAAAAAAACATGAAATTCTTTGAAATAATAAAGTTTTAAAGGAACAAAGATGAAAACTTGAGAGAAAGAGAGGAAAAATAAGAAATAATTAAAATATGCTCAAAAATTTTAGTCTAAGCTATTTTTTCAAATTAATTTAATAGTTATTTTAATTAATAATACCATATTTTGCACAAATGATCCTTATACTTCATTCCTTCGCCTGTTAAATTTTTAATTCTTCGGTCATTATTATCACAAAGTGTTGCACAATTTTTTGTTGCAAATTCTTCAATCGATATCCATCACATTTCTAACACATAAATTATTATTTGAAGAAAAAGAAATCAATTTTTAACCTAATTTCAAAAAATTTTTAAAAATTTCAAACTGTATGATTTTCATAAAATTCGGTTATGGAATGGATAAAAATTTCAAAAATATCATCGTTTTTTCTTTTTTTTTTAAAATATTTTTGTTAAAAAAAAATTCTAAAAAACGATAAAAATTATAATAATGAGTCTACACTTTGCTAACCAAAGTATTCCGTATGTATCAACACCAATGCAATATGAACCATCACTACACGGACTGAAATTTGTGGCCAAAAAAAAAAAAAAAAAAAAAACAAAAAAATAATAAAAAAGAAGAAAATAGACTTCAATCAATTTTTTTTTAACAAATTTGTCAAAAAAATTAAGGAAACAAAATAAATTTTGGTTAAAAAAAAACAAAATCAAACTAAATAAACAAAATGGAAAAAAAAAAAAAAAAAAATAAAATAAAATTAAGGACTATAAGATACGTTTGTAATTTTTTCAAAAAGAAAAAGGAAAAATATTTGAGTGCATATTTTGCAAATTAGAGAACTTTTGAAAATATTTCATATTTTTTTTGTGAATCAAAAAAATTTTATTGTGACAAATTGCAGTGATTTCATTCATTCCTTCCCTATTATCATATCATTATGCACTAACAAATGAAATGGCAAATTTAATCATCCTGTAATTTACACAAAAGTAACAATTAATTAGTTCGAAAACATTCAAAAGAAGAAAACAACAATTAACATAGCAGTAATAATTAAAATAATTCAAAGATAAAATTTGCATTTTTTTTTGAAACTAAATTTAGCAAAAAATATTTCAACATGCACTTACTAAAGATTATCACAAATTCGTATTGAACGTCGTACTTTAATTTGTCCACTTATTTGACATGGAACACATTCCGTCACGCAACTACCACGTCCACCATCTCTCCAACCACTCCAACCGCCATGGCGTAAAATGATAAATTCCGGTATTGCCGATTTACAGTGACCTTTAATACACCACTGAAATTGAGCTTATAATACTATGATACTACAACCTCATTGAAAAAAAAAAAAAATGAATTTATTATTTAAAATGTAAATATTAAGATATTTTGAACTTTTTGAATTCATAACTTATCTGTCATAAGTTAATGATAATATCATTTCTTTCTCCCTCTATCTCTCCCTCTCTGTCTCTCTTAAATGATAAATGTTATCCAATACTTCATTCGTTATCATACAACAACAAACAACAATAAAACTTGATATTCTGTAAACGATAAGAAACTTAATAATAATTGTATGGCACTTAATTTTGCCAAATAAAAAGTTAAATGGAAATTTTGTCATTTTATAGCATTTAATTTCAGTATCATATGGTATAAATTTTTATTTTCACTTATTTCTTCATAAAATTTAATAATTCAGACTCATTGCAATATTTTATTATTATTACAAATAAATAAAAAAATTTGTTATTTTTACAAAATATAATACTTTAACAGATATATTTGAATTGTTATATTATATATTTAGACACAATATATATTTGAATTATTGTGTTATATATGTATGCATGATAATGATAATTTGTAAATTACAATGATAAATATTGATAAGAAACGTATAAAATATATACATATTTAATGTATTATATAATATAATTGAATTATTATGTTATATATGATATTTAAATATATGTTTGAGTTATTCTGTACTTATAGATAATAATGATAAATGTGAATAAGTTATGGTAATATTATGATAAAAAATATATTTGTTGAAAAATTATCACACAAACTTTTGGCCAATTTCCTGTGCAACAATAAAAATACTACTAAAATCATGGCCTTCACTAACTCGATTGCATTATTATACGTTCTCTGTCTTTAAAATAAGTAAAAAAAAATTAATTATAATTAAATAAATAAGCATAACTCGATTACAAGGTTGTATATATCCTCCCTCTCCCTCTTCTCCCTATATAATATTACATAACTGCAGCTGAGTATAATTTTATTTTAAATTTTAGACATTACTCTTTTGTTTATTTTTATTTTGGCATTTAACATCTATTTAGTTTTTAGATAATAGCAAAATTAATTTAAAAAGATATTCTTGAAAAAAAAACTTCTTTTAATTTAAAATGAATAATAATTAACATACCCGATGAAGAGTAATGCATGATCAGATCGCTTAGTTGGTTTGCTATTTCGATTCAATATAGCTTGATAAATGCAAAATGAAAAAGTGTTGCATTACCATTTCCATGGAAATTACGTGACATTCAACCTTTTATTTTTTTTTTCTTAATTTATTTTAAATTTTCTTTTGTTGTCTTATTTTTTGTTTATGCATAAACTTTTTCAGTGACTATAATTCATTTAGTTGTCAATTATTTTCAACGATGATCTTTAATGATTAATGTTGAAATAAAACATTAATCTGAAAATGATCAAATAATATTTAATACTGGAAATGAATATAATTATTAATATTTATTATTTATTAGCCTCAAATGAATAGAGCTGACTTTCAAAAAAAAAATAGCCTTATTCAAATAGCGAAAAAAAATATTTTATCACTAGCTTAAAAAAGACGCACTCACACTAGCTAATTAATTGTTCTTAGCTATTAGTTAATTAATTAGTTTCACTGACTTCAAAATAAAAATAACAGTTTTCACTTTTAAAATATTCATTGTTTACAATTAATGCACAATTTCGAAATGTTAAATATACTTTATCTTAATTGCTGAAAATGCAACCAAAATGCATCATCAATAAACAAAGGTCAAGTCCAATTGTTAATTTATCATTTCTAAAAAAAAGATAATTTCAAGCGGTAATTTTTAAAATTTCACGAATGTTCCCACTTTTTCCGGATTACAAAATATTTCGAATAATTGTAATATTATTTGAATGGTAAAACATTTTTTTAGCTAATTTATTATTTGTAAAATAATACCGCAAATTATGGAAGTATGTATTGTTCTATTTGCCAGATGGATTCTAAAAATTAATTTTCAAATAATAAATATAACATGATTTAATTTAAATCTATTTTATTTGCCATTTCTTCGTTTATTTTGACATTTTTTTTTTAATTTTCAAATTAATTTTTTTATTGTAATTGAATATTTTCATTTATTATCAGGCAAATTTTTTGATAGGATTTCATGGGATTAAAATTTAGAATTTATAAAATTCAGAAAAATTCTGATCATAAGATCAAAATTTGAAATATTTGTTTTAATGTCATTTTTAAAATTTTATTGTATTCCTGCAAGCAAATGTGGCAAAAACAATTTTTAAAAAATTCAAACAATTATTTTGTCAATTAGTAATTCGATCATTCAGTTTTTCAAATGATAACAGTATGAATTTGATTTTTATTGGTATCAAAAATTTTTATTGTATAATTGAAAAGAAATTATTTTAAAGTCATTTCATTTCATTTGACATCGATTAAATCCATTTTATTGTTTATGAAATTTTTAGTGCATCATCAACATAAAATTATCATGTCTGATAAGATTTACTTAACAAGCACTTTCTTTTTGTTGATCCTATCAAACTCATACATAATGTTATTTCATTTATTTTATTACTATTTAGATATTATACTTGCTTGCACCTATATCATTAATTATGTTTTATTTCTTTATCCTATTTTGTGTTTGTTTAGAACTTTAAGACAATTTACAGATAGAATTCATAAATTGTGTTAGAAATAATAATAATAATAATAATAATAATAACATACATACTAATCTGAAAGCGATAAAAAATTATTTCAATAAAAAAATATTATTCAATCATATCACATTATACAAAATGCTTTGTTTTTTTTTTTTTAAAATTAGTTTTTTAGTCTTTTTAACCATTAGGTCTGCTTTTTTTTTTTTTTTTTTTTTTTGAAATTCAAGTGGATTATTGTTTTTTGATACTACTAAGTTATGTAAGCTTAATTAAAGTTTTTTTTTTCTTTTTTGATTTCCATTATAAACCATTCAATTCTAATAAATGGTCTTAGTTTTAAACCATTTTTGAATAAAGATTTAAAAAAAAAATTGTTTTTGTGGAATATATTCTTTATATGTACAAAAGCTGAGCAAAAATTAAAATAAATGAGAATAAAAATATAGCAAAAAAGATGAAGTACCAATATAAATATATAATAAAATTAAAATATCAATTTAGATACAGATAATCCATTACAATACTTGATTTCAATATGTTTTGAATACGCACAAAGTATATAAAATATTCTCAGCTCATTCGATCATTCAGTATTACTGCTTTTTAACTTTTTCTTCATTTAATTTGCAAAAAGAATTGAGAATTTCTTTTTGCTAATAAATAATTGACTTATTCGCTTCAACTACGCTACGTTCAAATGTTAAAAAATGTAAATTATTAAAATTTCAAAAGTAAATCTCAAACATTTATTGTCAGTACAATTTTTGAGGAACTATAAAAAACTAACAAAGTATATTTTTAAACCTACACTAATACATTTTTTATAAATATTTTTTTTAAATCGAAGTTAATGCATTTTTTATACCTTTTCATTTTTGCATTTTTTTATTATATTTACATAATTTTTTGTTATTATATATTTTATTCTGCAATTTTATTTTAAAATACACATTCCCTTTAAATCTTTCGTGGTAATGAGCAATTTTAAATTAACTAATATGAATTAATATAAATTAATATAAATTAGTATAACTAAGCTTATGTCAAATTTAAGCGTAAACTCTTATCGTACATCGATTGGTTTCGCAAAAATTCAGCATTTGATATTGTTTACTAAGCATTAGCCTTTAATAAATATTTTCTGAGGAAAAAAAAAGTTTTAAAAAAAACTTTAGCGAAGTGTTTGAGTGTAATTATTTCAAAAAAATTTTTTTTATTACAATTTAATATCAATTTATTATTTCTTTTTTTTTGTTTTTTTCTTGTTCCTTTTCAAATATTATTATTTAAAACAATTAATCAAAAGAAATTCTTACCTAAAAAATAATTTGAATTTTTCCATTTTTTCAGAAAAAGAGGAAAGAAATTTTTTCCGTTTGTTAGAAAAAAATGTTGAACAATTAATTTAATTTATTATTATTGTTTCTCTTTACCTCTATTTTTTTATTATCATTTATCATCAAAAGGATATAAAATATAAATTACTAATTAATTCTTTGGTATTTTTTTTCAATGAAGAAGAAACAAGAAAAACCCGCCAATAGTTTCATTCATTTTTAATTGATGGATTTTTGTTTCCGCTTTTCTTTTTTTGTTTTAAAGTAATTAACAAAAATGAATGCTAATCATAGTGTGAAGAGCTAGTTGTAAATAAACTAATTAGCTAACTGTCCTAAACACTAATCAATTGTAATATTATAATTAAAAAACACATTTACATTATTAATTTTAGTCCTTAAAAGATGGAAAAAACGAAAAATAGAAAAAAAGAATAAAAAAAATCTGAGAGTTCCGAGACATTATTTAAAAAAAAAAAAAAAAAAACTAACAAATAATATTTTACTTCATATCAATACTACACATATTAAATCAGCACTCTTCCACAATCTTTTTTTGTTCTAGAGATTTAAATTTAAGGGTCAATAATATTATTACTACTTAAATACTAGTTAATAATATCTTTACCACTTGAATATTAAAACTTAAAATTACTACCAACATTTCTCGAATAAATATAAGAAAGTGAGTAGAAAAAAAAAAAAAAAAAACATAAAACTTACATGAAATAATACAATAATAACGAGAAGGCAGAATTGAAATAAATGAACATTTAATGCTTAATTGCTAGTTAAAAACAATTATAATAATAATTAAAGGAATGACCAAATAAGAGTTGAAGATAAGGAAAAGATCGATAGTAAAATAATTACTTGAATAAAAAAAAAAGTTTATTTTTTTTCAAATCTTAGTCAAATTAATCTGATGGAAAGTCCTAGATCTGTTTGGATGAAAATTATTCAAAAGCAGAGAAAGGAACCAATCATTTAAAAAAAAACGTTTCACTACAAAATGTTTTATCTTATCTTTGTTTCCTTCATTAATATATGAAACTGGTTGAGGACTAATTCATTCACTCTTTATTGCTGCTTTCATTTTTTTTTTTAATTCATTAAAATTAAATTTAATTCTTACTCCATTTAATTACATTGTATACATTTATCAAATATTAAGAACTGGAAGCTTTTGCTTGCTAATTTAGATTTGAAAAAAAAATTTTATTTATTTTAATTCCTGTGATAGGAAAAGAGGCATATCAATGGAGAAAAAGTAAGAAAAACTTTTAACTTGCTTTTTTTCCTAATTTGTTAGATAATTTTCAGCGTATTATTCACATTATTAATGTTAATGTTGAGCAAAATAAATAAATCAAATGTAAGAAAAAAAACTATAGTCAAGCTTCTTAACATTTATTATTAAAAATAACGAAAGCTGATAAAGAGAAAATAAATCTCATTACTCAAAAAAATTTAGTATGACCGCATAGCAACTTTGCGACTAAATTATATAGTGATTTTTACAATTAATTTATGCAGTACGATTTTGTTATTTTCATTTTTTTTTCTGGTCTTAGCTTATTTAATTTACAGCAGTGACAGCTATTAAGTTCACTAGCTATTTCATTAAATATAAATGCTAAAAGAAAAATTATTAACATAAAATTTACTTCAAAAAAAGTATTTCAGAAAGAAAAAAAAAGATAAAACAGAAACCATAATGCCTGAATTATCGAATAATTAATTGAATGCATTAACAAATCCAGTTACTCTACTTAAATTTAATGCGCATTTTAGAATTATCAACATCACTTAATCAAAATTTAAGCATTTGCTCAAATTTTTAAAAAAATTTTACTACTTCACTAATAATTCTACTACTATTTCACTACATTATATTTAGTTGAAATATTTTGAAATTAGCGTTGTAATGTTGAAAATATTTTGTGCTTCTTTTTTTTTCTTTGTTATCACTTTCTACTCAAACAAAATCAGTAAGTAAATATGCATAATATTATCATAACTAATCATATCAATTTGCACGAATGTAATACTCATTACAACAAAAAATTTGTACTAAATAAGCATTTCATATTATATAGGAGATGTATAGGACATGCAAATAATACTGCAATTGTATTTTGTGCAATGATAAATTGAAATATGAATGAAATGCTTCATAATTTTCGAATGCTCATGTGAAGTCTTGAAATTTGCTTATTTGAAACTTTCACTATTAATTTCATCTCATTTCCATTTGACAAAAATTTTTATATGTGATGATTAAGCTTAATAAACAATTTAACGCCTTATATAAGATGTAAATAAGATAAGGAATTATTCCATGTTGATTTTGCATTATGTCGTGGATAGGGATTTTACGGAAAAGAGAACAAAATCGAATAAAATTAGTAAAACATTGAAAGACGGACAGGACAGAGAGCGAGAGAGAGAGCAGTAAAAGAGAATATGGGAATATCTTCATAATTTCTACAAAACATTCTGAGAAAACAAGTTAAATCAACATCAAAAAAAAAAAAAAAAAAAAAAAAAGAAAAAAGCTCAGATTGGGTGAATAATAAAACAATGAAAAAGAAAAATAAAACATCAAAAAATAAATTGTATTAAATTGGGTAATCACTTTTCTTTTCTTCTTTCTCAGCTATTCTAGCAAATTAGAAGAAAACAGGACACTGAAAAATGCTGATTTATGGAAGATTCTCACGAACTTCTCGGTGAATTTTCTTCACCAAAACATAAGCGCTATCTGGTTCAATCCTTTTATAGTATTTTTCAGCTACACCAACAATTTCAAAACCGAAACGTTTGTAGAAATCCAATGCTGACTCATTATTAATCTGAAAAAAAAAGTGAAACAGAAGCATTAGTAATTTCACAAATTTATATTTACTCATTTAAACATTCATATTGGAATTAGACAAAAGGAAAGGAATTTTAAATCAACCAAGAAGATAAATTGAATCTATAAACTCATGAAAAAATAACAGAAATTCATCATATTGATGGAGATAATGATATAAAATACTGTTATACATAGCAATTAAACTGTGAAACAATATAAGCATAATGTTTCTGGTTAGTTTCTACATTAAACAATTAATAAAATGTTAAAGAGCTTAACATTTTTGAGGACAGTAATATACAAAGGTGATATTTAAAAGAAAATAAAAATTAAATTTGAGGAGAAACCTGAACGTGAAGATAGATGTTTTCAATTGTTGGATCTCTGTCGCAAAGTGTGAAAACATGTTCCAGTAACATTGTACCAATCCCATGTCTGCAAATAAAATGATAATTTCCGAACAAAATTAACTGCCCACGCATAAATTTTTAATACAACCAATGATGCAGCCAATCAGAGCAAAGTGAAATAACAAAAATCAATTTTAAAAATGATATAGACAGGTAAAATTTACACTAAATTTAATTTCTTTGATATCGTTCTAAACTTTTTATTAATGTAGAAGATGGGCTATTTAAAAATTGTAAACAAACTACTATAAAATATTTAATATATATATATGTAAAAACTATTTTGGTTATTATAATTATCCAATAAACATATATATATAATTAGCACTGCTAACTTACCGTCTATAAGGTGCCAAAGTTCCAAGTGTCATAATATACAGCCGACGCATACCATTTTGTGTATCAATTCGACAGCAAACACCACCCACAACAATATCATTAAAATAAGCTAATTTCGCTAATTCACCCGCTGTGACAATTTCCTTATAAAATTTGTCATTGTATGCTACTGGGAAGACTGCCTGATTAAGTCGTTTCAATTGCTGAAAAAAAAAAAAAAAAAATTGATTTATAAAATAAATATTTGCGAAATTTATGCATGTATTCAAAATTACTTGGTGAAAAAAGAATGAGAGTAATAAAATTGAAAAATTAAACCTCATAATTTTGACATTTCAATATATTTCAAATTTATGTAACGCATGTATAAAAAAATTTGAAAATATCAAGTTATATTAACAATTTATTCAATATTTTGGAATGATAAATATTACCAATAAAGCCATAACTTGTAAGGCCATATTTTGTCAAAAAAAGGATAATTTTGCAAACCATCTACTTTTTTTTCCAAAAATAATATCACTATTTTCAATTGCGAAAATATAGGAAACCTAATTTATTATAGGATAAATATAAACTCATTGAGTAATAAATGAATTAGGTATAATTCAGAGTGAAAAATGAATTTATTTCACTGATTACCTCAACATTATGATGAGTGACATCACCTAATTCCATATCACAACGTCCAACACATCTCACTCGCCTTGGCTCATCATTTATCACAAATGATTGTCCGTTAACTTGATGCGTACCATATTGATCATTGCTATTATCACCTGTAGAATTTTCTGCATTCTCTGACGGTGCCATTCGATATACTGAAATATGTCAATCTTATTTTAAATTTACATAACAGATCAATTAGAATTTAATTTGTACAGTAATTCTATTTAATCTAGATGATTCAATGGTTTTTTCCTTAATAAACTAAAAATTTTAACATATTTTCTGTAATGTTATTAGTTTCAGAAAATTGAACAGTTAAAAATTGTTAATAAATTAGAAAATGAATTACAAAACATAAAATCTAACTAAAACCATATTCTGTTTTTCATAATAATTAACAATAGACGTCCGATTTCAAATAAGATAACTAAGTTATAACTTAAAAAAAGAAAAAATCATGGTTAATAACACTATTTATTCTAATAAAAAGAACAATTCAATTTTTAAATCATTTTTTTAATACAAGAATGATAAAATGATAGTTGCATTCCTGGCAGAAGAAACAGTTGCATAAGAAATCAATTCAGGTAAGAAAATAAAATTTTTGAAATAATCTATCAAAGAAATGAAAGAGCAGCAATAAAATGATGAGGTTTAAACAATACACTGATGCAAAAAATCAATACATGAATCATGACTGACAGTAATGTGATAAAAATAATCAGTAACTTCATATGAATAATATGTAAATGATTAATATGAAGTGCTATAAATTTATGAGCAAAAAGAGGGAAAAAAGTAGGAAACGAATAAAAAAGGACTGTAAACAGCTTAGCCTTCTTTAAAATTGAAGCACTTTTAATAATAATAATCCTTTTAAAATTATTCACGTCAATTGTATTAGTTGGTTGCGATGCAAAAAAAAAAGAAAAAAAAAAACGCAACCTGATAATACCAAAAAGCAATGTAAAATATCCCGGAGATTTAGAAATAAATCAGGATGAATTGACTATGTATTATTAAACTTAGCTCAGTTAACACAAGTCAACAAAAAAAAATCAATGAATTAAATTGTATCACATGAATTTTAAAAGATTTGTACACATTTAGCACTACGACTTACATTGCCTTCAATTATAGAAACATTTTCTTGCAATCCCACTGATTCACTTATTGATCCAAGGAACAACGGTCAAAGATCAAATAGTAGCTCAAAAGATCACAGCAAAAAATTTTCGACAGAAAACAATTAAATCCTTGATTAAAGAAAATACAAATTATTAACAATAAAATCACATATCAATGACAACTAATAATGATTCATCCAATTGCTCATGCCATAATTCAGCAACTAACTCATTTTTAATTTCATCTTCATAATGTTCCAATTTAGCTTCCCAACCATCTTGTTCCGAATAAATCTCCTCCAAAATGATATTTTCGATATCGGAATTGAGTCCACGTGATAATAATTCCCAGCGTTTCTTATCCTTTCCGTTTTGTTTATTACCTAAATAAAGCACCGTAAACAATACAAAAAAAAAAAAAAAAACAGAATAACGTAATTAAATGATGTAATATCTAATAATGCGTTTCAAACAATAACTATATATGACATTTAAAAATGAACAAGATTTCAAACATTTTCATGAGCTATTCAACTGCATTGTTAGCTTACACTTCAAATATTAAATTTGATAGTATTCAAAATGTGTTCCTTTATAGAAATTTCCCCTTAAATTATCATCCATTGCAAGAAGCAACTAACTTTCATAATACTTCGAAAGCTGTTTTTGAAGGATGCTTTTTAGATGTAACAAATTTCGAGGTCGGAAAGAATTGATATTTGTTAATCCCATATATCGACTGCTACTAACATCCTTGAAACAATGTTCAGCAATTTCACAGCACCGATCTACGAGCAGTTGCCTGCAAGTAATATCCTAAAGTTAGCAATGTTTGGATTGGTAGAAATGTAAATATTCAATGAATGGCAATCTAGAGAATAAAAAATATTGTTTTTTTTTTCCTTAAAATTGAAATATTTAAAAACCTTTAACCTCATTTGTAGTTCCTGTGATGCAATACCAACTGAATCACCACTGATCAATATTTCTAAAGGCTGTTTTGAGCTAACCAAATTCCATATCTTTTCAGCAACTGAGTGAATTTCAGCGATAACCCATTTTTCATCACTCATGTAAAATCTGGGATAAAATGATGCACTATCATTGGCTAATTAAAAGCATTAAAATGAAATAAAGATTGTTGAAATCTTGTCCAGTAATATCTTTGAAAAATCTAGTCAAATATCCCGAAGAATCATAGGAAGATCTCTATGACATCCGGAAATATGAGAATTTTCCAGTACTATAATAAGATAATGTAATACCCGGATTGTGATGATGACACAAGTTCTGCTGATTTGATCACTTGATTATTCCTCATTTCTACAGAGACACTGAATTCCTTATTTCCACAAGGATGTTCGTAAAGCTTCGAAGGAAAATCATTCTTTTCACTAATTGCTTCGGTTTCTGCGCTATTTACACCACTCAAATCAAGACCAGGAATTAGATCGTCAGGCTGAAAAGATATCAAAGCAAACATAATGACAAGCATTTGGAAATTCTTATAAGTAAATAAATAATTGAATATCTTAAACTAATCCTTATAGGATCTCAATATTGATTTCTCTACCTCCAAAATGCACAACAAAAAACAAAAGAGAAAACCGAAAAAAAAAAAAGAACTAATCTTTGACATGACTAAATGCTAGTCATGCATTCTTCTGCTGTTACTGAATATTAAAGAAGCGATTAAGATTACAAGAAACAAGCTTCCAAAAACAAGAAAAATTACCACTGGAATTTTATTTAAATCGTAACTTCGATCATTTTGCGATGAGTTATCAGCGGATGCAGTTAAATTCGTAGTTTTGTTATGTTCACCATGATGCACAAATGTTTCACTTTCTGATGCTTGACTATGCTCCAATGTCAACATCGCCGTCAATGAATCCTCTAACAAAGATTCAAGTAGAGATGCAGATAAGGGTGATATACAACGATTTGCTGATGTCTTCTGCAAACAAAAAAGTTACAACGTTGATAGAACTGTAGCATCGATAGAATAGAGTCCTTCGGATTTATAAGTTAATTGTATTTTAATTAAGAATCTTTTAATATTTCGACTAATTTCCCAGAAAAACTTATCATTTATCAGATGACTTTTAAAAAAAAAAAACTCACTAAATAGTAATTTTTCCACAAAAATACTTTCGAAAAAAAAAAAAAAAAAAAAAACACCTTCATAATGGCATGAACTTACAGATGTGTGTGGACTACTTGTAGTACTTCTTGTAGCATCTTCATGTGGCATTGATGCCGCATATTTGGTTGATGCAGCGCTTCTTGGTGAAGAAAGTGGACTGACCGTTAGTTTAAATTTTCTCGGCCTTGGAGATTGAGTAAGCTAGAAATCAAGAACAAAATCTCTTCAGTATTGTTAGTTAAAAAAAAAAAAAAGATTTCAAATTAGAATAATAAAAAGGGACAGCATAAAAACAAATTGCAAAAATAAAAATGAATGATAAAAAAAATGGAAAAATTTTTCACATTAACTGTATACCAATTACTATGAAGTAGTTTGGAATAAGCAATGCAAATTAGTATTACATTACTAAAATGAGAATACACTATTCCAATTTTCAAAGATAAGTAAATTAATTATTACTCATATCGGTTTTATTTAGTATTATCATACAGAGAAGATATTTAAACAGTGAACTTACTGCTGTCTTACCGCTCATTCGTACAACCGGAGTAAGCGATGAAATGGTTGTGTGGAAGCTTGGTAAGGACTCTGAAAATTATACAATTTGCAAAAATCAGAACTTATCATTCATTAACCAGTACTTCATTTTCTACGTAAAAAAAAAAGTATTTTCTAATCATTTCAAACATTACATCAATGTAATCGGAAAAGTTTTATAAATACTAAACATTAAAAAAAAAGGTCGAACTATATGCAGTTTGCTGCAAATTTTTTTTTTTTTAACTTTTGTTAAACGCTGATAAATGGAAAATTTATAAATATAACGCCTTATGCGGCAGATAAATCTATGCCATAAAAAAACTTACTAATCATTTTAATGTTAAGATAAAAGTATTACCTCGTGAAGCAATTCTATCTTTTTCCATTTCATCATTACCATTCTTCTCTTCGCTGTCAGTTTCAATATCAGATGTTATTGGTGTAAAAAATTGTTCATCAAGAGAATTACAAAGCAAATTACATCCCTCCGTACTAGTTTTGCTTTCATCATTAGCATCGTTTGGTTTAACAATTGATTGTTTCTGTTGTTCCAATTTACTGTCATTTATATCGGATCGATGAGCAACACATACTAATAGTGCCTCTTTTGAAGTATCCTGTTTAAAATTTGCAGTTTCACCATATATCAATTCACTGGAATGAGTACTTTCTGGTGAATGAATAATAAAATCGGTAGAATCTTTTGAAACTTTTGGAACATAAGCTGATTTTTTATCAATGGATACTTGTGTTTCGTTTGAAGCGCTGTAATTTTTTTCGATAACATTTGTTTTCTGAGATTGTTCAATAAGCCGTTCTGAAGGTGTCAAAGTGTTGCTTGAAGATAATTCGACAAAATAACATGCATCATATGTTTTTCTGGGTGAACGAAGATTTTTGTATTTTCCAGATGCACCGGCAATTCCTGATTTTTCTTCTGATGGTGGCTTCGAAAATTGGCTTTCTATATTTTTCTTTTTAGAATTAAATTCAAAATTGCAGGATTTGTTTATAGAGTGAATATCAGCATTGAAACTTGTTTCATTGCTATCAGCTTCCAAAAATGCACTTGCTGCACCGACATTCATCGATGATAAAAATGGATATCGTTCATAACTTGATTTTGACCTTTCACTATTATCACCTAAAAATTGATGTTTTAAACAAAATCAATTAAAAAATTATGAAAAATATTTGAAAACAAATAACTAAACAAACTGGAAGATTATGGAAAACTAATTACCACTTTCATTTTCCAATTTATTAAGTTGTGCAATGTCTTTTTCAGTTTCCGTAATGTAACGTACATGGGCATCGATTTGCGCCCTCAGTGAGTTCTCCTCACTAAAAATTATTGTTCCGATGAAAGATAACAAATAAAATTATAGCTTCTCATAATACTTTGAAATCTTGTTTGATAAATTAGCATGAAAAAACAAGAGTATACTATGTATGGAACAAAAGAAAAAGTCTATATTTTATTATAACTCTTTCAGCAACTAATAAAAGTTATCTTAGCTTTTATAATGCATTAAATATACGTACCACTGATCATTGCGCATTACTCTCTGGTCGAATGTCTTCTTCATGAAATCTGCTTCTTTTCTTTTCCATTTTAACTCTTCACGCAATTGTTCCAAGTTTTTGTTGTAATTTGTTGGTTTTTGCACTAAACATTTTAAATAAATAGAATTATTTTTGGTATTATTCAGTTAACAGAAGATAAAGAGTCTCTGAATGTGTAATATCGGTTACACACCTTTCGTTTTTCGGATATGTCGGAAAACACGAAGAGGACTTGATAATGAAGACCTTGTATTGTCAATGTTCATAGCACGCTCTCCATTAATTTTAAAGCCTCAAAAAAAAAAGAACAAAAAAGAAATTTTAACTGATATTTGATGGAATAAAGGAAAAACACAGAAGATTAAGAGTTTCTGAATTTTTAGTAAATTTGTAGGATGGCTAAATTATTTGAATGTTGAATTCACTTAAAATCATATTAGCATATTCAAATAATATAAAAAAATTCAAGGCAGTGGTTAGAGCATATTTGGTACATACTACGGACCTGCAACATAATGTAATAAAATACAACACCAAGTATAATTTCTAAATTATGCATTTTTGATTATTAAATTTATTGAAATTTCAACGATGAATGCCAGCAATAATTAACATGCGGAATAATCAAACCAACTACTTAAACGGTTTCCGACATTAAACGAAAAAAAAAAAAAAAAAAAAAAAGAAAGAATTAACCACGTGAACGTGTCTTTAATTTCAATTCCCATTTCTCCAGTTCATTTGCCAAATTATTTTTCTCGAAATGCTTCGTAAAAAGCAACACTTTCTCAGAACCTTTGCGAAATTTTTCGAAATTCACATCTTTTTTCTTACCTCTGAAAAGTATTTATTTTCAGTGTATTTGTAAGCAGTTGATGTAGGGTTATAGAATGATTACTCCTCCGTCAAGCATCATTCTGCAGGGGTAAGCAAAACTTATATTATACCTCTGATGACATTTTATTCGAATTATCATAAAGAAAAAAAAAAAAAAACCAGAAGTAAAGCTACAGCTTTCTAGGTAATATATCTTACCTTAACAGTGACAAATGCTTCTGTAAATCGAGATTAAGTAGCTGTATTCGAGCTGTCTCATGTAAATGATAATCGATCAAATTTTTCTGTAAAATATTGACAAACAATTAGTTCTGTATGAGAAAATATCAATGTCGTTCTTATTCTTACCAATGACATTGTACTGCGAACTGAACTGATATATTTTTGTTTCAGTAGTAAGCATGCCGATTTGATTTTTTCTTCTTTATTTTCCACTTTCCACAAATCTTCAACCTTTCGCTGATAACAGTGTCTGCAAATTGATTAATGACCACTGAAATAGAAATATAATCAATAAAATGATAAAATATTTTTTTCAATAAGCCAAGTTCGTTGTGTATAAAATAATACATGCTTTTTGAGAGAAGAAATCTCATTTCACGTGTACAACTAAGAATGACCGTAAAATTATTTGTGAAAATATTAATAAAATAAAAATTATCGAATGAAAAAAAAAGATAAAAAACGGCTACTTACTTACGAAGCTCAACAAAATACAGCATACTATCTGTATAAAATTGTCGAAGTGCTTTCACAGTATTACTTGCATAATGCTTACGTTTCAGTAATTCTTGCGATGAATATATTGGTGAACTATCGATTTTATCACTTTGACTGGCATCTAAAAATATTTTAATGAATGATAAAGTTATCGAAATAAAAATTGCACTGAATGCTAAGTGTGTAAAAGATTTTGGATATAAGTATAAAAATTTCCTATTATTCAGACGACATTTGCATCACTCTAAACAAATACAATAAAGATAAGGAAGAAAAAAGATCGCAAAAAATATAAACATAAAGAAAAAACTAATATAGAAATATATTTCTGCACCGAGAAAGCGTTAATCAAAAGTGACAAATTTCTTAAAGTTATATAAAAGTAAAATCTTTTATAAAACAAAAAGCTAAATCTCGAAAATTTCAAGAATCTTTCAAAATGATCTTTAGTTTTATAAGATAATTAATAAACCACTATTGAACAAGTCATTGTCAAAGCATATACCATTAAAAGTAGACTGTGCCGACGGTGACTCATTGATTAGCTTCATATTAGAATTGCTTGCTTGATGTATAACCTGAAATGAATAAAATTATTTATAGGTTATTATCCTAAATTTTCATAAAGAGCAGTTGGATTATATACCGATTGTCTTGACGTAACTTCAGATTTAGCATTTTGAATTTCATTCATTGCATCATCCGTATCACTATCATCATGAAGTGAATTAGTTTTTGAAATTGTTGGTATGCATAATTTAACTGGATCACAATTCCGTTCCTTCAAAGGATACTGAGATGGTTTAAGCATCTGCAACATAAAACAAAAGATTTGATAAAAGGGAGAAGAGACAACACGACACAAGAACGTCACATCAATTTTTGAACACGAGTAATATAACCAAGGAAATAACCAAAAAATTGAGAGATCAAAAAAAAATCATAACGGGGGACATGCATACATGAATTGTGCAAATAATATGGTACAGTTAAGCAATTTAAAGCTTTGTCTTAATCTTTTAATTAAAATTTTGTCAACTAACTTTTCAGATGTATGTTATAATTTATAATAAGTGCAAAGCAAGCTTTATAATTATGTTGCAAGTGCATGAAACCACATTACATGTGTATGAATATAGTCAACATTCACATATACTAACTAAATTACAGATATAAAATGAGCAATACAATGTAATATGCATCCAATTTAAAAAAATGATACATTATTAGAAAGTGAATTATAATGAAGTGCCTTATTTATGCGCTGTTCCGCGGTTGCATAAAAGCTGCTCTGCCCATCAAAACACCTTTCGTCTGAATCCTGAAAATATACAGCTAATTTAACCTAGCTAATTCTATATACTTATAAATTTTTGATTATGAAATAAAGTTGTAGTTGTTCTTCTTCCACAAATTTTCATACAAAGCTTATCAATTTCTCTTAAAAAAAAAAAAAAAAAGAAGAAAACAGTAATTCGAAAAAATGTAATAATTTAATTATCCACATGTATTACTAATAAAACCAAATAATACTTTATCAAACGTGTTTTCTTTTATTTCGCATTCACTACAGTTTTTTTTTTTTTTATACTCAAAAATTTAATTAATAATTCTAATGAATTTGCTAATATTTATTTTTTGATCATTAAATTTTAAATTCTGTCTATTTATTCTTATTTATCGTGGTATAATCCGGTCAACTGTTTCAGTATGCATGCTTTTGCTAAGCATAAATTTTTGAACATGTTGTAAGATCGAAACGTCCATTGATATCGAAATATTTGTGCTAACAAAAGAAGTAGCAAAATAATAAGAAAAACCATAAAAAATTTTAGTTCCTCTTCAGAGAATGCATATATGAATGTATGAAATTATATAATTTTGCCAAAGCACTATACAACAATATTCTGAATTTATAACAATTAAATTTCATACGAAAATCCGCCGGTGGGTTGATGAGGTAAGGAATGTGAAGTGATAATTACTTGAAATGTGAAGTAATTATTAGTTTTTTTCCCTTACAAAAACAGACAAAAATAGTATGTTGTAAAAAAAAAAAAGAAGCAAAACAGAAACTTATCGCAAGCGAAATCAAAAGAAATAAGCGAAGGACTTTATGTGGAGTAGCATAACACGTACCATTCCATCACTGACTTCATATTCACGTAATCTTTCGTTATTGAACGCATTGCGAACATCTCGAAGATGCTGACTCATTTCAGTAATATTTTTTCCATAAGCAATATGAGTTCTCAACTGACAACCCAGTATTTTACCGCGTGTTATACCTTTGATATTTTGCTGTAAGTTATAGTTAATAGCTTAAGTGAATTTTTGAGAAAGGAACTAAAAGAAGCACAGAAAATATGGATGATAATAAAGCCTAGTAGACCTTAGGGAAGAGGTGGTTGTTGTAAGCGTCCTTTTCCAAAATGTATCCTTTGGAGGAAAAGTTGTCATCCACTTTGTTGTATTCTAACGGTGAAGAAATCGACAGTCGATTTGAAAATGATGTTTGTAAAAAGCGTGCAGCCCTATAATCAAATCAGCGAAGAAAAGCTTTGAATAATCAATTAATTTTTAACCCTCGATAGCATTCGTCTACTGCAGAAGTGATGAAGAAATATTGTAATGTCTTAGAAACGTATACACAAATGCAATATCTTTCCTCATTTAGTAATAGTTGACAGTACTGATGATGACTGATAAAAATTAATCTATCATCATTTTAATCTACCACTTAGCTAACTAAAAAAAAAAATAAAGAGACTGATGGTGAGATCTTATGCAGAAGTCGAAACAATGTGCAAATATTACTCATCGATATCACTCTCCAAATTATTTAAAGTGCTAAATGACTGTTTGATTTTAACATTGATTTCGTCACAAGAAATACTATGTCCAGAGCCATCGATATTCAGATTTACATGTTGCGATACCTTAAACATTGATAAAGACTAAAATATTTTCAAATAAACCCATCACTTAGTTTATATAACTCTCTCACTTCTTGTACAAAAATATTTGGAATGCATGTCAAATGAAAGACTTACCGTCCTATCTTTTGTTGACCAATCGAAGGTATCACTGGCTAAAAAATAAGTTTTTATTACAGTCGTACTTGAAGAATTCTCTTTGATCATCCTATTACTGTGCAAATTTCCAACAATCGAACGTTAACAAAAACGCTCATCTTCTGATATCAATATTTCTCACATTTTACTGCCGGAATTTGCGGCCGTCTTACTTTGCCTTTCTTAATTTCATCCATTTTATTCCTGGAACGCAAACGTGTAGACTGCGACAAGTGCGATTTTTTTTTATTATTCCGCACGCCAACTACAGCTTTTTTTATTTGCGATCTAAAAAACAAGATTTAATAGCAGTATAATGAATTTAAACAAGTATAATTTACTATATCATATTTTAATAGCAATAACACAAGGCAAGATATCATTAAAAGCTAAACTGAATTAAGTGAATTAAAGTAGTAAATTATTTAATAAATGTTTTTAAGTCTACAGAGAAATCAGTGAGAACAAGTTTTCTAAAATTACTGATTTATGCCGTGCCGAAAGATGAAAATTTTATCTGCCTCATTTACAAAATGAACGAGTACTCTCTCAGCAACGAAAAAGAGATGCAAGCATTTAAAATATAGAAATAACTACTCTTCTTTTGCAAATGTTAGTGATGATCCGTGTGCCCAGCTTCCAGAACAGCAAGCACCGGAAGAGAAGCGCTTGTTGTGAAAAAAGTCCATACTTTTCCCACAATTATTCTAAAAAAAAAAAAAAAAAAAAAAAATATGGATAAAAAGAACAGCTAATAATGCACACGGTAGCTACTTTAAATTTCATTCCACGTTCTTAATGTAAAGATAAAAGATGAGTTCTCAATAAACTTTACAGGGATAATTATCCTAAACAAAGCATAAAACAGCAAACCCTTAAAATATTAATGCTTGTCATAAAAACAACATATCAAATAATTTGTATTATACAAATAGAATTAACCTTGTCAACTCGAAAAATGCTTTTCGAAGTGTATAATAATGGCATGGACTTGTAAGGCTTAGCAATAATATCAACATTTTCATCATCATAACCGCTCAATTTCTGACAGCACTGCTTAACTGAAATTTGAGGAAAAAAAGAATAACTATAACGAAAATGATAAAACCATTTTGCTCAATAAACAATTCTGCAACTGTTCCATTCAAACGCTTAAAGATATTGCATAATCATTCAAGATTTGAATGATGTTTCAATAAAGAAGAAAATAATAAAGTCAGTTTTCTTATTATTATTAAATATTACGAATCACTCTAATATTTTGCAAATGAGGAAGAAGAAATCAATAATTACAAACGAAATATAAAGCGAAATTTGGCTTACATGCAACAGAACCGCGGATATTCTGTACCTTTCGTAACACATTCTCTTCAAATGTATTCTTTGTAGGTGACATCTCGTGGTACGTTATACGAAATTTCTTAGTTTTATTTGCAACTTTCTCAATTCCATAGCTCTTCCGATTATCTATTTTATTTTCATCTAAATATTTTCAAAGATTATTCTGAAAATCATAACGGTAAATCAGTATAATAGATGATGTGTCAAAACTCGGTAAGATTTTGTAGAAGTTGCAAAAAATAATTTTCGAAAAAAAGCACTGTTAGTACTGAAATGGAATGATAACATATGCATGGTTCTATCTTATTTGACTTTTACACAAAATTCTACTTTTCAAATTTCTATAAAAGTGTAAATTTCTACTTTAAACTCCAATATTTTAATTAATACTTTTTGTACAGTAATGAAGCACTACGCTTTTATGGAATATTTACCATTTAAAATCCGTCGCCGGATACGCTCCAACAAACCATATCGATCCATCCTTTCACATAAATTTTGTTCCCTATAATAATCAAAAAATTCAAAAAACTAGTAAAATGCACTTCCATTTAATTTTATGCACATGTAATCTCAATTTCTGATAATACGATTGATAAAGTAAGGAACTTGCTCGAGCTCTAAAAATTGCATCATAGCCTTATTTTTCAGCATTTCTATTCTTAATTATAGCTTCAATTAAAGCTAATGTGTTAAAATTACTAAAAGATTCCATAAAAATAATTTCCCAAATAAAACGTACGATTTAATTAAACATTTACATGCAGCTACCTGACTAATTTAAGTCTAAAATTTAAAAAAAAAATATTTCGAAAAAAAAAATTTATTAGAAAAATTTAAAAAAAAAAACCTGTTTCGTTAAAACGATGAAATAAAGAAAAACGAATCATGTTAAAAAAAAAAAAAAAAAAAAAAAAAAACTCATTATTGCGATAGAAAACATGATAAACAAACCATTTGTGATAATCTTTAAAGCAATACCATAATAAAATCACAACAACAAATATTGATTGCTATTTGGTAATTTCTTATCATTATTTCGCCATCTTTCCCTAGTTTTTCATTTATCATTTCATAATTACAGCTGGCTAACTGTATTCTAAAATGATATTCATTTATGATAATTATACTATAAATTCATTTACGAAAATAACATAACAAAAATTCTAAATAACATTTTCATATCTTTTCTCATCTTTTCCTCAGAGATAATTTATTCGTTTTGTTTTTTTCTCTCATCTATATTTCTTGTCCCCAAATTTAAAAATTTCTGCAACTCCATTTCTCAAATTTTTAAAAATTAATTTAAATTCTTAATTTTAGTTCAGTGAAAAATATCACCCAATATTTAATCGTAGATCACAACTATGTATATTTTATTTTTTAAAATAATTAAATTCATCTATATTTTAATCATCAACCGATCATAATTAATTTAACCTCATCCTTACCATATCAAACTCCCCCAACCATTCATATCACAAAAAAGCTACTTAAAAATCCAGCCGCCAAATTAGATCTACTTGTAATTTTCCCTTTTCGCAAAATGAATCCAAACCCGACTTCGAGCGATTTTTTTGTTTGAAATTCAAAAGTAATCAAAAAAGTTGCTTATTGTTCCTTACTTTCCCTTAAGTAAATTAATTTTAAAGTCTTTCTTTAAATATATGTGATAAAAAAATAAAGAAAAAACTCTTATCATATCACAGTAATTCATGCTCTCATTATATTCTTTATGTTCAACCATTTCCACTACTCTGTTACGTATTTTAAAATTACATATGTTTTAAGAAAAGGGAAAAAATTCTTGTCATTTCCTGAATTTGTATATTCTATATTTTCTATACTTTCCATTCATAACTCAAAATTATGGTTAAGAAAAAAAAAATTACAATATTCTTATATCTCCTAAATAACCTATATTTTCTATATCAAAATCCTATCATGTTACAATAATCCATACTCTTTATTTTCAATCATTTTCACTATTATTGCTTCATAATTCGAAAATTATTTGTACAATACTATTTACCTTACAAATTTTGCATTTTAAAGTTACTTACAACTGTTATTTTTGCATATATGATAAATATTTTCTTTCATTAATTTTTATTTTCAATTTTGGTGCTAATTATTTTGTGAGGTCAATTTGTTTGTGTTGTGATTTTTTTCATTTATGAATTAATTCATTACTAATTTATTGATAATAAAATTAAAAATTTTTTTTCTTTAATAAATCGTTCATTTTTACAATAACACTAACAAATTCTGTCAATTATTTTTTAAAATTATTAAAAATTCTTCTTCCTCTCAATTTATTCGCATCAGTTATGTACGTTAATTACGCTTTTAATTGCATCTTATTTTCGGTTTTACGGCACTTTCCACTCTGTTAAAGAAATGAAGTTTCTCTTTCCTTTTTTTTTTTTTTTTTTTTTTTTTCATTTCAAATAATTATTTCATAATGAAATATTGGAATAATGGACTACTCTAGTAGAATGTGGTACTCAGTACTAACTAATTCTGATAGGAAGAAATTTTGTTGCAAAAAGAAAAAAATAGATGCAATAAATTTGATAAATGATAAATATGATAAAATAATTTTTATCTCTTTTCTGATGCAGTATTTTTTTTGCCAACATTATAGAAGATATTATAAAGATTATCAAAATATGGCAGCAATTGTTGATTTCCTAAATTGGGATGCTTACACCGAACATATCTTTTGCAATAATCGCTTGAGATCATTTACAAAAAATGCTTGGCCTCATCAACAGTCAGTTAATTTATTACCAGAAAAGGTGGTTGTTTACACTATCGATTTCTCCTAATAAAATCATATATTAATCAATAAATTTGTTTTACTTTCCATCATGATAACTACCACTTATATTTTTTGAGTTTTTAAATTGATAGAAATTTGCTTTTTTCTGATTAAATTACATTTTAAATTGTGCTTTTTTTTCAGATGGCTAAAGCAGGCTTTTTCTTTGATCCAGATAATGATAATATTGATGGCGTTAGTTGTCCATTTTGTCTTAAAACTTTAACTGGATGGGAAGATAGTGATGATCCATTGTAAGTTATTTTTATAATAATAACAATAATAGTAATGATAATAATTAATAATCAATACATAATAATAAAATAAAGATATTTATTGAGTAATTCAACCGATTTTTATTTTTCTTTTTAATTGAACTAAATCATAGACTGTTTTTATCAGATTGAATTAGAAACTTATTTTAATTTTTATAGATCAAATTAAGTAAATTTAAATTTCAACTTTTTTTCAATTATTTTTATTTCTGTTTTTTTTTTTTTTCAGAAAGGGAAGAGATACTAAGCTAGAATGAAAAAATGATAATATATGAAAGAATGAGATAAAGACTTTTGAATTCTCAAATTGGTTAAATTTTAGAGTGGAGCATGCAAAACGGAAGGATATTTGCTATTTTGCTCGTTTGAATAAAGATGAAAAAGAATGGACAGTTGAAGATTTCTTACGACTTTTGGCTCAACGAAGAGCATCTATGATGGTTTGAATTGTTTCTCTAGAGAGAAAAAAAAATCGCTTAATATTTTTGTTATACTTTAAAAAATAAATTTTTGAAAGAGTACTTTAGGATTTTAATCTTCAGTTTGTTGTATTTCTATATTAAACTTATAATATTCAATTGTGGCAGATTGAAATTAAAATTAATTTCAAAAATTATTATTAATTGATCCTAATTTCTGCTTACTGTTTGCTATATTAAGTCACTAATTGCACTAAAAGCGATCGATGGTGCTATGGATGCTATGGAAAGCGTGAAAAAGAGAATAGATGTTTTGGTTGAAAATAAAAGGCCAAAAAAGGTAGCGAAGAGGAAGAAATAAGGAAAAATTGGACTGCTATTACAGTCTTATCAAAATTAACTAAGAAGCTTGACTTGACTGGACTTCTACTCTTTATGTTTACTGTATTTGTACTGGTTTGATCTGATTTGATATATTAGTTCCTCTATAAAATTAACATGCTATGTCAAAACAGAGGAAAAAAAAAGATCTCAATAAAAGAAAAAACATAGCATTTTTGGAGACATTACTTTGTGACACTTTGTTATTGTAGTACTTTGTTATTATTGTATTTTTAAGCTTCTTCAAATTAAGTTTTCTACTTTTCAATGGAGCTGTATAATTAATACTAAGCAAAAATTAGTATAACTAAGTGGAAAATTTTTATTCATTTGATTGTTTTTTTGCCTCAGTTTATTCCAATATCAATTTTACTTATAGATATGCTTGCTTTATTTGACATATTATTAAAATGAAAATGTATGCATAAACCACCGACAAATTTTGCTATATTTTAACTGCTAAACAATTTATGGAATGATTGGAATATTGACTGAGTCTATATTTGCTAAATTCAAACATTGCATCCCGAAAATAGACTATCCGAAATAGTCTATATTTGGTCGAATATCATTTTGTTGCATTACAAGTATGTCATTATCGTTGCAAATAAGAGACATAGAGAGAGCGAAAGAGAAACTATCTTAAAATATGAACTGCAGAATGTTAAAGTGTGAAAATCTTTGCATCCTTAAGTACTTTGAAATTCCCGAGAATATATATTTTAAATTATGGAATTTCTCATTCTGCTTCACATTTTGATAATTTTTTTTGATAATTTATTTTCTTATTTTTTGTAAGTGAAATGAATAATTATTAAATGCAACTTTTTTTTTTTTCGAAATTATATGTATTTCATTTGAATGATTCCAAAATTTAAATACTTGATCAATGTTTGCGGAATATATTTATTAGACGATATTGATTTCTTATACAATATCCTTCCGGATCCGATCTGATGTCAAATAACCCGGTTTCCAGATATTTACAATACTTTCAAAATGTTGCATTTATTGCTTTCATGGAAGTGATATGATAAAGAATACTTTTATCTATTTGTATTAATACGTACTACATGGAAAATGTACGTAGCTTAAGTGACCGTATATAATAAACACTACAACGTTAATCTCTTAAAATCAAATATGGAATAGAAAAAAGGAGAGAGAGAGAGAGAGAGAGAGAGAGGAAGGGAGAGATTTGTGATACAACGACATGCGACATGCAATGCAGTAAGACAGCATAGTCCACAGTATGTTGTTAGTGTGAGGAGGAAGGTATAATGAGCGGAAGCGCACACATTCTTTTTGCAAGGACTGCAAGCAAATCGATCTCATTGAGCACACACACACGCATACACACAGACACACACACACACACACACGCACGTGCACTGTTTATAGCGGTATTAGATGTGCATGCATGTGTATATCTCTGTTAATTAATGTTTGGTTCACGTGTAGCATACATACCCTTATCCGATATCGTTGGTCATTTACAGTTGTGAAATACGTGATGTAAATGCGTGGGCACGTTTATGTTAAGTATATGTGTATGTCAGTGTATGCGTATGTCCGTGTAAGAGTATGTGAGTCTACGAAAACGTGGAAAAAGATTCTTTTTTGCTTGTTTGAAACAAACACGCACTTACGTGTTTTCGTATATGTGTGCGTGCATATGAGTACGTGTATGTATGCTGACGTGTATGAATATATGTGATTCCACTCACGTACTAATATACATGTGTATGTGCACGTGACTCTCCTTGCATAACACATGTATATGTGCGTGCGTGTGTGTATATATTTACATTTATTTTGTTATTTTGTACACATACATTATGTAACGATTCTCAAAATACGTTTCTATCCGTGTTATTTCTCGTAATATACATAGAAAACGGGATTAAATTTATCTCTCCAACGAAATATGTTCAGTAATCGAAAATTCTCGAGATTTCCTTTAATTACACAACATTCATTGGCAAATTTAATATGCAAATTTGATTTAATTATCTCAACATTTAATTGTAACAATTATTAATAATTAGTAAAATTAGTAAGTACAAAAGGATAGTTAGTAATAAAAACAGTTCTTGTACAATTAGTTGTAAAAGTAAAATACATTAAAGAGTTAGGATATATATATGAGTTTCTTATAATTAGTAATGTTTAAAATTTCTATAATTTTCTGCTTTATTTCCTATTTTACTATTTAAAGTTTAGTTGACATATTTTCATATCCACAAAGTATGTAGTTATGTTCCTTTTTTTTGTTTTTAAACTCTTTATCAAACTGCAGTGAAAGTAGAGGATTATTTCAATATGTTGTTTATCTTTATTATCACTGTAGCATATTATCTTTTGTTATCATTTATCAAAATCATTGTCGTCTTACCATCGTTTATTTATTACTTTTAATTGATTTATTGGAAATGTTATATCATACACTCAGTTTTCATTTTTTTTTCTCTTTCCAGCGTAAATTGTTTGTTTTGTTGAAAAGTGTTATAATGCAAAATATAAAATGTGATAAAATAAAACAAAGCTTACATTACTGCGATCAATTTGACAATTTTGATAAAAATATCGAATAAATATTTTCAGCGTTTTTTTTCTTTTTCTTTTTGCATAATTTAATTCCGTTAAGTGTTGACATATGTGAACACATTTGTAATTATTATGTATATTATTTTACACTATTTTTTTTTTCTTTTTTTTTTGGTCAAACTGGCAGCTTCACTTTCATCAGTACAGATAACAACAGCTCGTGTTCATAATAGCAAAACAGAACTGTTAGTATCACGTCAACTTGATCCGGTTACTGCTGCTACTATGGAACAGGTACTTTTTTTTTCTTAATTTTTATTACAGATATAAATTTTAAAATATTGTGCATGTAAAATATGCAAATAATTATTGCTACTACAAGTGCCATAATATTACTTACTTACTTACTGTAGCAATAAAATATTGCTTGATTATTTATCGGATAGGAATGTAAAATAATTCTTATTTTTGTTTGCTTATTTACTGAATAACTAAAATATTGTTTGATTATTTGTTAGTTGATAATCTTGAGATTGGATGAGAATTACAAATTAGTGAGTAATGCATTGTGATTTTATAATTTATAGTAATTTTGAGACTTTTCCTGTTGTGTTCAATTTTTTCCTTCCATTTTCTTAATATTTTAAAGGTTTTTTTTTTTTTTTAATTTTCTATATTTCTTAAGGATATCGTTATTTCAGTTTGTTTCTATTTTTTTGCAACCTTGTAATTTTGTTTATATTTCAGTTTTATTTTTGATTGTCCATACTAAACAATTTGGCATAGTTTTACTAATTTCAGATATCCTATTTGGGTTGTGCAAAAATTGAAAATCCGAGCAATGAAGTTGAAATTCTGAAAATAATGCAATTGTTAAATAAAGAACGTTCGGAGAAGCCTATTGATGTAATATTATTTATTCCTGATTCTTCCTCTGGCATTGTTCGGTTTGTGTTTCTTTGCTGTGATATATTCTCTACAGTACACAAAAAATGTTTTTACATATGGATGAGTTTTTTGTTTTTTGTTTTTTTCTTTTTTAAATATTAAGACTTCTTTTATTGTGAACACTAACAGTGATGTTTTTGTTTGAAGTTTCATTTTCATGATTATTCTTTCTTCTCTTTTCTCTTTTGTTTTATTTTTCTTCTTTCATATTTTGATTTCGTTAATTTTATTTGTTATATTTTTAAGCTATAGTTAAATATAGTTTATAATTGGCTTTTTTATTATTATTCTCTTAGTTTGAAATTTCATTAACAGTTCAAAAATATTCTCAAAAATTCGATCTGAATATGCCGTTGCAGTGCAGCAGTTGGTAACACTTTTGCATTATTGCTTGATAATAATAGACTATATAGGCCAGTTCAGTATCATTTAAAAATGGGAAATAAAAATAGAATAGACTAACAGCTCTGGCATCCTATATAACATTTATAAATAAATTTCTAAATATGCTAAATTTTGTTGAAATAAATGTTTTGCTGTTGTAATTTGATAGATGGATTAATTGCTCAGAGAAGGAATGAGCATTGCATTTTGCAAGAGATGCATGTTATGCTTATTTTGCGCTAAATTTCTACTTTATTGCTTTATTTCACTAACAAATATGCATGCTGCAACAAAGTCTTGTTTGTAGAATGTGTGATGGTACAACCAAATCCGAAATGGTCAGTTTTCCAGTTCATCGAATCAAATTTTGTGCTCGTGGCCAGTTGGATTCAGCGGAACGTGAATGTTTTGCGCTTTCTTTTACGCAGAAAAATGCGACACCCACCGATGGTGCCTTACATCAATGTCATGTATTCCGTTGTCAGGTTCCAGAAACAGTAAGTTATTGTTATATCGCGTTTCTTCTCTTTCTGATGTTTACTTAGCAAGATCTTTGGACGATTATTTGTTCGGCAATCATTTCTGTATTTGTTGTTGTTGATAATTGGAATCTGAAAAAGTATGTGTACGAGAATTAGTAATGAGAAGTTAACGATTGTATTGGCTCGATTGTATTTGATTCATTCATATATAACTTTAATGAAAGAGATTAATTATGCTTTTGCGTTAGTATCTTAATGTGATCTTAGTAGCAAAAATATTAATGTTGTGAAGTGTTTCTGTATTTTAGGCCGGAAAAGCACTTCTTAATTTTGCTAATGCTTTTCGAAACAGTGGCACAAAAAAAGTGCCTTCACCAAAATTGTATCGCACATCTCAACCGAGTAGTGCTGATGAAGATGCATCAAGCCTGGAGGGAGCCTTCAGTCCTGGTGGTGAAGAAGATTTCCAGTTTGATGCATTTCTTGAAATGAGAGTGAGATATAAACATTCAGGCTTTTATTCACGCTTACATTGCGTTTGAACATTTTACCAAATCTAAAAAGGGAAAATTTTTTTTTATGCGCTTGAAATAATCTAATTAAGTATTATTTGTCTATT